TGTGGATATATCTTCTTGCTCAGCCAAAAAATTTCATAAAAATTTCCAGCACCTAATTCTGTTACCACACAAATTTTGAATTTTTATTGTACAAAATGGTATTTTGGATAGTTTCTCAATTACCAGAAGAGTGAGGATAAAAAAATTTCGCCACATGTTAAGCACATATATGGACCAAAATAGTTCGTCAGGATTTTTCTTTAATTTATATTTACCGAGAAAACGCAAAAAACTGCTTAAAAATCAAGTTGTGTGTAAAATTGAAAATTTTGAGCGAATAAAGAGGCTAACTAGATAAAATACAGCACTTAATACACAATCCCTGACGCCTTTCTTTACCACAAAATGTTAACATTAAAACAAGTGTAAATAAATTTAATCCGAGTTGTAATCACAGGAGAAATATCCATTTAACATCGGCTACTATGTCAGAAATCGAAACGGAGAATATTAGCGTTTTTCTATTTTTCACACAATGAGTGACCGCCGTGTGTGCAAAATGGTGAACGTATTGTAATATATCTATTGTTAGTACTTGCTGCGACAATATCCATGACTAAACTGACACCACTAAATTGGTAAAATGTTCCCATGCACCTTGAGAAATTCTGAGAAGTACGAGGTTACCATCGCAGACGCGCGAACTCCGCTCATCCTGACGTCACAAGCTAATATGTCCAACAAAGCGCGCGCATGTCTGCGTGTTGCAAGGTGTGTTGCGAGTGTTAGAACTATTTTGGCGTGGGATACTTGTTGGATCACTAGCAGATGTACATGAATGTACATGAAGTACATGCAATGACAGCTGTAGCAGGTTTGACGCTTAATGAAACCGGCTTAGTTATATCGTGGTTGTATCATGTCGCTGACGTCATAATGAGGTCAGCCGCTGCTTACTACACATGTACGCGGGTAAGCAAAAAGCTTGACATTCACATGTACGTTTATGGAGAATTAGCATGTACACCGTGGGCACATAGTGTTAGCCATCGAATAAAGTGAAAAACGAAAATCCGATGAAATTTCATGCACAACGTGGAGAGTATCCTAGCCCTGTTCTACACTAGCAAACTTTAGTTTGCAAACTCGAGCAAACTCCGAGTTCGAGCACCTCGAGCAAACTCGAACAAACTCGTGCAAACTCGAGCAAACCTCCGAGTTCACTGGTACTGACTGTGAATTCCAATGTTCAATGTCCAATGTTTGTCTATCTGCAGGATCACATGAGCTACAAACTGTCATTTGATTGGCTGAGTTATTCCAAACCTCAGCAAACTCGAGCAAACTAGTTGCAAGAAGAGTGCACGGCCTAACTTCTGCAAACTTCTGGCAAAACTAGTTTGCCGAAGTTTGCCAACCTGGTCTACACTGGCAAACTTTGGAAACTTTTCTTGGCAAACTCGAGTTTGCTCGAGTTTGCTCGAGTTTGCAAACTAAAGTTTGCTAGTGTAGACAGGGCTTAAGATGTTCCCCCTTCTTTTACCTTCTTGACCTTTGACCTTTGACCCCCAGTTTCGACATCCCAACTCGTTTTTCGGATTACCCCCCCACGTCCGAATATCGTGACCGTACGCGAGCGGTTTAAGATTTGTGCCCATCTGTGTGACGGCGGACGGACGGTACGGACCACGGACGGATGCACGGACGATCGATGGCGATCTACAAGCTGCATCTGACTATGTCAGGATGAGCTAATAAATAATATAATTTTATTCACTTTTGACATTATCATGAACTTAATGGTCATCATCGTCGTAATCAGCCCAGAACAGGCAGCCAGCGAGTAGTAGTATTAGTAGTAGTAGCAACAGCAGTATCATCATCGGTATCAGCAACCGCCCCAGTATTAGCAGCAGCAGTGGTGGTAGTGGTGGTAGTAGTGGTAGTGGTATTTGTGGCAGTGGCAGAGCAGCAGTAGTAGTAATAGTAGTAGCAGCAGCAGCAGCAACAGCAGCAACAGCAGCAACAACAACAGTAGCAGCAGTAGCAGCAGTGGCACCATCACCACCCACCACCACACCAGCAGCAGCGCAGCAGCAGCAGCACACCACCACCACCACAGCAGCAGCAGCAGCAGTAGCAGCAGTACCACCACCACCAGCAGCAGCAGCAGCAGCAGCACCACCACCACCAGCAGCAGCAGGCAGCACACCACCACCACCACCACCAGCAGCAGCAGCAACAGCAGCAGTACACGCAGTAGCAGCAGTACCACCACACACAGCACAGCAGCAGCAGCAGCAGCAGCCTCACAGCTGGAGCACTAGGGTCCCGCTGGATGTGATTATTGATTAATCGACGCGAATCATAGCACGACGCGGGAGAAGGGAAGCAGGCTGCTGGAGCGCGTACGTCAGTCACTGCGCCCTAACCTGGAACATGCCCCTGTAGCATAACACTGGGAATCAAACAGAGAGACGTTGAAAATAAGAAAAACATGCGTCGCCGCTGTTAGACGCTCAATATTATAGCACATTCCAGAGATCCTATAGGAACGCGAGATTGGTGACCGAGATAAGCGCTTGTACAGGCCCACCTTTAGCGTAGACCGGTACCACGGTCCATGATTCCCTATAAGTGGCACAGCTAGTGGTACATCCATAGAAATATAATTATAGAGACACAGTCTAATATAGTCTAAACACGTCTAACTAGTATAATTATTATTTCTATGGGTACATCTACACCTACCGGAGCCGTCGTGGGGCTTTTACTCGCATCCTTACGCATCTTGACACTCGTTGACCGCAATGTCTGTGTAACGGAGGCAGCGGTGTGCGCCAGTGTCTCCTCTGGTAGAGCCATGCCTGTCGCCATCGCTGTGTTTCCCCTGAAGCTCTGCCAGGTTGCTTCCCCTGCAAGTATAAACAGCAGTTAGAATGACCCAACAAAATATGTAGTGTAGATAATCTGATGACTTAATTACGACGTCCGTTGGGTATGCTCTTGTAACATGTAACTTGTGTTGTCAAGTAAATAAATATCGCTTTTCCTCAGTGACTGCTTGTTCTACTATTACAGCGAACTCTTGTCATCTACACTTAGCTACACTACATCCGACAAATAGTAGATTTCGATTGATAGTAATTCGAATGTAATGCTTTAATGTCGCTCTCAGAACCCTCGATGACATGCAATATTTTCGTTTCACTATGAAATTGGTTGTCTACGTCATTTTGTACAAACTGCGTGCCAAAGTGATTAGGTAGAATTCGGATAACATACGTTTTGAAACTTCGTCCGTTACGTTTTCGATGGAGGTTGTCAGATCTTTCATTGTAAGAGGAGGTGGTCGAATTTCATACGTTTGAAGCATTCTCATCTAAATTTAAAACGTTAGCTAATTGCATAACAATTCAAGAGAGAAATACTCATTAATCGTTTAACGCGGGCTACAGTAAGGCAGTAACCGTAATAAGATATTTGAATTATGCTGTGTAGGTACGTAGAAAAACACTATACAGTTTTATGGGACGCGATGGGCGTGCAACAATTTACGATTGTCTTACGCGGAAGTAATTTCCTACTACATTCCGATTAAATTCCAGGTGTCACGATTCTTTTATAGAAAAACCTTTCCCCGAAAGAGGGCAGCACGATGCAGCAACATTGTTATAATTTCCCAGTTATAGTACATAATTTTCCGTGCGTGAAATAATCGAATGTTGTACCAATGTCCGTTGTTCCTTTGGCAGTGGCTCATCTTTGCATGTGTGATCCTTTTCTTTAACTGTGCCTTCCAAATCATCGCGGTTGCATTCCTGTTTTTCTACGAATACTTTATACTGGCGTTTATCGGAAGCACTGATAAATTCCTGTAAGGAGTAGGGTACGGCGGCGGAATGTTAACAGGCCCGCATTTGTAAAATTGCTTTTATGAAAGCAATCCGACCCTCTGTTCTACTTAAGCGCAGATTGCCTGCGGCGCCGTGAACATAAATAAACAAGCTTGAAAGACAGTAATCGAGGTTTAGATGAAATAGACACGGGGCACGCACACACGTTTTCTGCACCGGTCGAAAAAGAACCAGCGAGTTCTCTTCTCATACAATGTGATATTGTGATAGAATCATAACACTTCAGAGGGTTTGTAACGCGATACGGGCTCAGCGCCGATCACCCACACCCCCACCCCCATCTCCATTACCATCCCCACCACCACCACCGTGGCAGAATCACATCGTATATTTATGCAAAAGTGTCAGATAGCAGCTGTTGATATTACCTGTTAGCGAGCTCGGGTAATTTTTTCACCGAAAAAATATTACTGCAAAAAATCTCACGGTCTGAAGTTGAACGCTCATAAACTTACTCTACTTTGTAGCCAACTCCTTAAGAGTAACGAAAATAACGTATAACGCATCGGGTTATGTGATTTATGGTGAGTTTATATGTGATTTGCCTATACACAATAAATTTGTAAAGTTATACACACACACCTTGCACCATTTATCTTGATATGCATTTTTTTTTCGTTTTGACCCTTTTCTACGTTATCTAATTTGTGTTGTCTTTCGTCAAAACATTGCTATTTCTAGACACACAGCTGAACCAATTTTTCACTTTCATAATCACATCTTTTTACAGGTTTAAATTTTGAGAGAAAATAGATCGCGTATCTGCACATTTCCACATGTGATGCCATTTATCTATTTACGTCGCAATTTATCCATTACAAACACCAACAAACACCATCAACTTTACAGAACTTTATTTATTTGGGAAATGCTAATATGAATTGTGAGTGGAATTGAGAATTTCATTTATAATAGGTTCCTAGCAAAAATCCCAATTCTGTGCATTCGATATTCATGTGCCATATATGATTTTGCATCGTGCAATATATTTTTATCAGAAGTCTATATTATAATATATCCTACACTCCAGATTTTATGACCCAGGGCACGTATTCATTAAAGCATAGCCTCAGCGTGCTATCTCAAGCTCCCGCGGGCTATGCTTATTTATAAATTATCGTGTCTTCTCTCACGCATCCGTCTACACGTGCGTACCTGACCGACTATGCGAAGCGTCGAGTCTAAGACTGTCGTCTGCGCTTCACTACCTGGCAGCTGCATCCGGATGCGGTTCAGATAGTGACTTAACTGCCGCCTGGCGGAGTCACGCTGCAACTCTTTCTCGTGAATTCTCAACTGCCGTAAGAGTTCATTCCAGATCTTGTCTCTGCATAAAATACAGCACGATGTAGGATCTATATCGATCTATCTCGTTGCAGTGGTAATGTAAATAATAATACAGCAGCGTGTTTATATTTGTGTCCGAAAATACTTACTCGTTGCATTCTAGAGCTAGGATGAATCTTGATATCACATCTCGAATTATCCGCGAAAACGCATCTGCGTCTGCCGGTACGTCTGCGTCCACTGACTGCGTTGCTTCAATGCCGCACTCGTGCTCCGCAGCTGTACATTGCCTCCTTTCTATGGCACCTGATTTCACGTTAGCACCAACCTCTGTCGTCATCGGCGCAGGTGCGAGAAATCTACCAACAACTTATGTCACCGGACAGTGACCACAACACAGGTCGAACTCCGAATAGCGTCTCCTGACTACAGTAACTATGTACCATTGTGATGTCATTGCTGGCGCGCTCGAACTGCGTGACGTAATATACACCGCGCGCCAAACTGGTGCGAAATAATCACGTTGGCGCGAAGTTTGATGTTTCATTACATATTGGGACAGTTGGGAAAATCACCGGTCTAATGTCTTGAGCATTACACACAGCCAGGAAAGCTACAATTTTGTGAAATCGTGAACAAATGGTTATAAGTATCACAATTTAGAATGTTGACGCATATTATATGTACGCTCATAGCTCTAGTACTGCTGATAGGGTCTATGTCTCCCTGGGTACTGCCGGAACTAGCTCTAGTACTATAGCCCGCGGATACCTGCGGCAGCTATCCGCGGTCTATAATAGTACTAGAGCTATGCCGGAACGTACCCTGGGTACGATCCGGTATACCGGAACGTACCCTGGTAACTATCTGATATGGTTAGGGTTAGGGTTAGGGAGTAGGCGTAGGCGACTCCCTCGACTCGTTAGTGGAGTAAGCGAGGTACGGTCCGGCATATTAGATAGTACCAGGGTACCGGACCGTCCCCAGGGTACGTTCCGGCAGTACCCAGGGAGACATAGACCCTGGCAGCTCTAGTACTATAAACCTTGTTGCCACAAGATTTGCCTGCAGGTACTAATCCCTCCACAAGTTACCTCTGGCGGTGTACGGATGCGTAGTGCGTGCATGCGTGTACACGCTTTTAGCTAGATTAGTTAGTCAGTCCTTGTCTTATCCGTGCACGTCGCGTCACGGTTCTGTTCACGTTGATCATGTTCGGGATGCGGTCGGTACGATGAGGTTTTATAGGCAGACTTGACACGTTAGGCAGACTTGGTTTAGGTAGGACAGCATAATTGCTTACTGGGAACGGCGAGCCAACGTTGTTAGATGTTACATATGGCGGCGATTGACTGTGAATATTAGAAAACCATGATGATAAATCTGAACGTTATACGTAAGAATGAAAGCAATTATGTTTAAAATAAAACTCAATTAGGATTTGTCGAAATTCTAATTAATGTAGCGGCACCTTAATACACAAGATACACAAGATCCTAATCATATTTTTACGTGCTATCAGAAAGATTGTTCGTCAGGCGTTGCTGAGATGGCCGCGTACGTTCACTCGCAAGACTTCGGCTCTTCATATTCATTAGCAATATATATATATACGTATATGCAATATATATATACGCATATGTATATATATATATATATATATATATATATATATATATATTCATTATTCATAGCAGGTGGGGCTGGTGAGTTGACAGCGACGAACAATGTTTTCCGCGCATAACATTTATCAATTTATCAGTTAGACAGACGTCTTTGTATTGGGCGTGTACAGCTTGTTTCGCACTGAATAACATATTTTTCGTATTGCACATATTCTGTATCATACAATCAGGAGTGAATAAAATCAGTTATGTTTTTTCTTCACTCCTGATACAATGGTGGAAACGCGTTCGCTTTTATAGGCTACCAGGTGGCAGCACGACTATATTATGAGCATTTGCTTGCGACCGGGGCTGCTCGTCGGGAAACTGGAACATTGTTGCACATTAAGCAGGATCGTGGTCACTGTTAGTAGGGGAAAACTGCCTTCACAGATATATTGGACAAAAGACCAAATAACTGTAAATCATTCTAAAGTAGATGTGATAACTAATATAACAAAATCATTACCCTATTTTTATCGTATATTTATAATTATTACCTATTTTATCAGCACTATCAGATCTCTGCTCGTGAATACCCACAGTATCTGCCAAAAGACACATACTTTTTATAGAAATTATGTATTTAAAGTATGGAGAGCACATGCTCACTAGTTTTAACAAGGTAAATCTCTATCCCAATATTTCCTGTTAATACATACAAGACGCTTAATTACTCCCCCCTCCCCCCGATGTCCCTAAGCTGTAGTATGAATAAATTAGCGTGCATACTAACAAGTAATTTGCTATGACAAGTGTCTCTTAGGGCCGAAGCCTCTGGGATGGGAGCAGTTGCACCACATAGTTTTTAATGAGAAATTTAAAAAAAATCTTAATAGATGTAAATAATCGAAAAAAAGTAATAAATAATGGAACAAAACTATTATTTTAGCCTCGCATTATCATGCGTATTATTTCTTAAAGCGCTAAGAAAAGTAAGCGCTCGTCATTACTCAGTAATGTCACAAAATTGTACACCCAGTTCTCCCTTGCGAATTTGCTCAAGCTACGGTCCTATTGCGTGAAGTTAATATGGTAGTCTGTGAGATTGTTGGCGTTGTGAGGACTAGAAGGAATGCGTGCGTGCGTGCGTGCGTTCGTTCGTTCATACATCTGCGTTCATGTAAGTGATTGTATAGGGACGAGACGTAATGCGGTGGTGTAACCGAATATGTAAAATCTCATTTCAAAGATATTTCAATATAATGTCCTTCAAAATCAAGCAAAAATTTATAGATTTCCCAGACTTATACAACGCGTTCACAACGTACGACTACAGCATAGCAGAGCATGATATTATCAGGAGTGAATAATAATAGATCTAATATATACAATAATCTATTATTATTCACTCCTGATATTATCAAGAGATAATAATACAGATTATAGATGTATTATTAGCTCGTGATAATAGGCATACTGTATAGTAATACTCCGTCTCATGTAAGTAATGCGTTTCAGGAAAAAAACGTAATCCCGTTTCGCCATTGACTACCATGGTATAATTGAAGATGCGTTCTTGCGACAAATCTTCAGATCAATCGCGTATGTACGCGAACGCGTGTACTAATAGCGCGTTCACACGTACCGTAAAACGCAGTTTCGAGCGCGTATCTTACGGACTCCGTACGATACGCGTATAGCGTGACCTTGAGTTAAACAGCGTTCACACGTAGTTTTGGAATGTACGTACGTCGCGTTATAGCCGGCGCATAGGGTGAAAAGAAACAACAAAATTCGGTTATAGGTTCGTGCTTTTTGCTATACTCTCTTTCTCTTTCTGTGTCCCATCTCTGTGTGTTGCGCGCGCCCTCTCTTCTCTCTCTCTCTCTCTCTCTCTCTCTCTCTCTCTCTCTCTCCCTCTCTCTCTCCCTATCTCTATGCGTCTCACCCTCTCTCCCTGTCTCTCTCCCTCTATGTGTCTCAACCTCTCTCACTCCCCTCTCTCTAACTCTATGCGTATCCTCTGTCTCTCTGTCTTTCTTTCTCACTCTCTCTCTCTCTCTCTCTCTCTCTCTCTCTCTGTCTCTCTCTCTCTCTCTGTCTCTGTCTCTGTCTCTGCGTCTCTCTCTCGCCACAAAGCGTGACGCGTATACGCGTATAAGCTATAGCCGGTCGTATCACAAGTCCGCTATACGCGTATAGCTATAGCGAAGTACGTAGGAAACGCACTCATTTTGTCAGAATAGTGATACGCGTTTCGAACTGAGTATAGCTATACGTGGTCGTTCAGAGCGAGGGAAATTTATCGCGAGTAGTACGAAACTCTGTTTCGTATGCGTAGCGACGTGGATTTTGTACGTGTGAACGCGCTATACGTATAATCATGCGTGTATGCGCGCTCATGAGTTATTACTACGCGTATCAATATTCTGACAAAATGAGTGCGTTTTCCTACGTACTTCGTATAGCTATTACGCGTCTAGCCGGAGTGTGAACGACCGGCTATAGCTATACGCGTATACGCGTCACGCTTTGTGGGCGAGAGAGAGAGAGAGAGAACTGGAGAGAGAGAGAGAGAGAGAGAGAGAGAGAGAGAGAGAGAGAGAGAAAGACAGAGAGACAGAGGAGACGCATAGAGTTAGAGAGAGGGGAGTGAGAGAGGTTGAGACACATAGAGGGAGAGAGACAGGGAGAGAGGGGGAGACGCATAGAGATAGGGAGAGAGGGGGAGACGCATAGAGATAGGGAGAGAGAGAGGGAGAAATCGGGAGTAAATCTATCGTTTCTTTTCGCCCTATGCGCCAGCTATAACGCGACGTACGTACATTCCAAAACTACGTGTGAACGCTGTTTAACTCAAGGTCACGCTTATACGCGTATCTTACGGAGTCCGTAAGATACGCGTTCGAAACTGCGTTTTACGGTACGTGTGAACGCGCTATTAGTACACGCGCGTGTGTATGTCCACGCTTACGTCTAAGACGTATGCGTGTATGTGCGCGCATGAGTGTATGTACACCGCGTGTGTATGTGGCACGCTTAAGTCTAGACGTATGCGTGTATGCGCCGCTCATGAGTGTATGTACTCGCGCGTCGTGTATGTGCACGCTGTACGTCTAGACGTATGGCGTTGTATGTGCGCGCAGTGAGTGTATGTAGCACGCGCGCGTGTGTTGTGCACGCTTACGTCTAGACGTAATGCGTGTACTGTGCCGAGCTTATGAGTATACTATGTATCACGCGCGGTGTGTATTGTGCACGCTATACGGTCTAGACTATGCGTGTATGTTGCGCTCATGAGTGTAATGTCACACGCGCAGTGTGTTATGTGGCAAAACCGCTTACGTCTAGACGTATGCGGCGTGTATGTTGGCGCTCATGAAGTGTAATGTAGCACGCGCGTGTGTATGTGCACCGCTTACGTCTAGAACGTATGCGGTGTATGTGCGCTCATGAGTGTATGTAAACGCGTCTGCTGTATGTGCATCGCTTACGTCTAGACGTTATGGTGTATGTGCGCTCATAATGAGTGTATGTACCGCGCGTGTGTCATGTGCACGCTTACGTCTCTAAGACGTATGCGTGTAGTTGCGCGCATGCACGACGCGCGAGATGAACGTCGTGCGCGCGTTTAGTTTAGAATTGTTAAATATCCTACTCTCAGCGATTCACGTCGCTGTTCAATTCGTTGATCATTTTTGCGATAGAATTGGCTATGATTTAGGCTAGGACC